AATTTACAATTAATTCAATACAAAATTTGCACAGAGTACATTATACAGGTCATCGGATGTTCAGGATGGAGTTTGTGCCGTCTGATACCTTTACACACTGCACAGACAACACTCCTGACAATTATATCCACACACAGTGGTCCTGTCCACCTGTTCAGGGATTTTGGTGCAGAGTATGTGAAGACCTGTCAAAGTGTCTGAAATGTGATATCCCAACTTCCCCCTCATTTTGTTTGCTAGGAAACCTGGACGATGTCCCGATTGAAACACGTTTGGTTCACGTGGTTCTGACAGCCATATGCATTGCTAAGAAAACTGTCCTCATAAACTAAAAAAATAAAGATAATATTTGCATTAACCAGTTTAGAAATCTTTTGTTAGATCATATTACACTTTAGACAGCCTTTGACTCTACTTAAAAAAATCTCTGGGCTCCTTTGATCAGTTCCATCACATAGAGAGGATGGATATTGATATTGTCCTGCAGGATGCCATGGTTGATGTGGTGGAGAGTCTGAGTTAGGAGCATCCTATGGTTCCCTAGAGGTAGGTTCACTAGGGGGGTCTGGTGCTGGGGCACTGCTGCCCCATTCTGGTGGCACACTTAGGGCCTTGGGGGTGGACAGTCTCCCTGGGGTCTTCATGCTCCGAGGACACCTATGTATCTCTGAGCCTTGGATCTCCTCCATCTTCTGCACATCCTTGGGGGCAGGTCTGTGGCCCCTCACACTCACTATTGGACACTCTTAGAGAAACCTTACGTACACAAGTGCATGTACACACACAGGAGTTCACATGGTGGTCCTATAAGTATGGACTTGGACATTTATAACAGTTGACTTAAGGCTGTTGTTGGCACTTAATGCACCGAAAATATTTCAATTCAGTTCAGTTCAATTTAAAAATACTTTATTAATCCCAGAGGGAAATTGATTGCTTTAGTAGCTCAGAATAATAATAATCAAGTCATCAAAGAGTTCTTGGGGGGTACGATGTTGTCCACACAGAAGTTTATATAGTCAGTGACATATCCAGTCATGGCTTTGATCTCCTCTTCATATCCTTGGCAGAGAGTCATCCAATCTGTGGTCTCAAAACAACCCTGCAGGGCTTCTTCACTGTCCTGTGACCATTTTCTCACAGTTCTTCTTGTCACAGGTGCCTCAGAACAAGTGGTTTGTATTCTAAGCAGAGAAAAACAAGATTGTGATCTGATTGTCCCAGAGGAGGTCTTGTTTTGGACATGTATGCATCCTTTACATTTGCATAACACAAATCCAATGTCTTGTTTTCTCTGGTGGAGCAGCTGATAAACTGTTGAAATGTTGGAAGTGTAGCAGAGAGCGAGGCACGATTAAAATCACCAGATATAGCCACAAATGCATTGGGGTGCTGGGTTTGTAGCTTAGCAACAACGGAACTGATGGCATCACATGCATTTTCAGCAGTGGCTGAAGGTGGAATATAAACGGTTGCCAAGACAACACTGGTGAACTCTTTTGGCAAATAATATGGGCGACAACTTACTGCCAAGAGTTCAACATCTGGGCTGCAGAGACGACATTTCACTGAAACATGACCTGGATGGCACCATCTGTTGTTGACACGCACTGCCACTCCACCTCCTTTTCTTTTCCCGCACCTCTTCAGATCTCTGTCTGCTCATACAGTCAGGAATCCTGGCAGAGAGACGCTGGAATCGGGGATATGGTCCTGCAGCCACGTCTCATTGAAACACATAACACTGCACTGCCGAAACTCTGGCTGAGTCCTTGAAATGGCTTGGAGCTCCTCCATCTTGTTGGCCAGTGATCTCACATTGCTCATTATGATTGATGGAAGGGATTGTTTGAATTTCCTTTTTCTCTGTCTCTGTTTTGCTCCCGCTCTGCACCCGCGCTTCTTGCGTTTTAGCTCATTTGAGATTTGTGGCTTCAGTTGAGGTATTATTTCAGCCTTTCCAATGTTAATCAGCTGCTCCCGATTGTAAACCAGCTTGTTGCCATGGTTGCACATCATAACAAAAGCTCAAAAAGTGAAGAAAATAGCAGTAAAAATCCTCCAAGCTTCACATCACCAGAAACAGAAAAGTTAAATGTCCCAAAAAATACTGTTTTTCTTGAGAAACTAGAAGAAAAAATGTCCAAGAAAAGACAAAACTTACATATAGTCAACAGAGCTACTCCAACATGCAGCCACCCAGAGCAGCGCAGTTTTGGTATCAGGCGTAGCGTAATACGCTCAACCTGTGAGAGACAAAATATAAGGCTTGTCTTTGGCATTCAGATATCAATCCTGATAGCTTTACAGCCGGACAGGACAAGGTAAAAAAAATAAAAGATTGATAGTAGAAAACATTATTGACAATTGCCAACCTTCCCAGGAGTCGACCAAGGTTTACCCAAAATCAGAACATGAAACATGTCTGAGATTACTGGCCTCAGTCAGCATGACAGCATGTTGAACCACAGCGTGATTCACACAGGGTTGAACGGATAATGCTGCTTCTCACAGACACGATCGTATCAGCATGACTTTGATTTGCAAAGCTGCATTTGAATAAGCCATCAGACTTACTTTCACTTTAGGGAAAACTTTTGTGTCTGGGGAAAACCCAAATGGGGAGGATCAGCACAAATACCTCACGCCAGCTTTTCAGCACGCTTGTGGTAGACTCATGATTTGGGCCGGGTTGTTGTCATGATGACACCTGAATATTTAGCCTTAAATATGAACAGATTCTACAATTAAATCACCTCCTCCATTAGGAGACATTTGTTTCAGTGTCTTGTAGTTGAACTTTGTTCTGAAACCTAGTTGTGTCGGACCTTCTACTTGTTCCTTCTGGATTTTGGCTCAGTCTTTGTTGGATTAATAAAACCCTGTGTAACATGTTATTATTAATATACAGGGAGTGCAGAATTATTAGGCAAGTTGTTTTTTTGAGGAATAATTTTATTATTGAACAACAACCATGTTCTCAATGAACCCAAAAAACTCATTAATATCAAAGCTGAATGTTTTTGGAAGTAGTTTTTAGTTTGTTTTTAGTTTTAGCTGTTTTAGGGGGATATCTGTGTGTGCAGGGGACTATTACTGTGCATAATTATTAGGTAACTTAACAAAAAACAAATATATACCCATTTCATGTATTTATTTTTACCAGTGAAACCAATATAACATCTCCACATTCATAAATATACATTTCTGACATTCAAAAACAATACAAAAACAAATCAGCAACCAGTATAGCCACCTTTCTTTGCAAGGACACTCAAAAGCCTGCCATCCATGGATTCTGTCAGTGTTTTGATCTGTTCCCCATCAACATTGCGTGCAGCAGCAACCACAGCCTCCCAGACACTGTTCAGAGAGGTGTACTGTTTTCCCTCCTTGTAAATCTCACATTTGATGATGGACCACAGGTTCTCAATGGGGTTCAGATCAGGTGAACAAGGAGGCCATGTCATTAGTTTTTCTTCTTTTATACCCTTTCTTGCCAGCCACGCTGTGGAGTACTTGGACGCGTGTGATGGAGCATTGTCCTGCATGAAAATCATGTTTTTCTTGAAGGATGCAGACTTCTTCCTGCGCCACTGCTTGAAGAAGGTGTCTTCCAGAAATTGGCAGTAGGACTGGGAATTAAGCTTGACTCCATCCTCAACCCGAAAAGGTCCCACAAGCTCATCTTTGATGATACCAGCCCAAACCAGTACTCCACCTCCACCTTGCTGGTTGTCTGAGTCAGACTGGAGCTCTCTGCCCTTTACCAATCCAGCCACGGGCCCATCCATCTGGCCCATCAAGACTCACTCTCATTTCATCAGTCCATAAAACCTTAGAAAAATCAGTCTTGAGATGTTTCTTGGCCCAGTCTTGACGTTTCAGCTTGTGTGTCTTGTTCAGTGGTGGTCGTCTTTCAGCCTTTCTTACCTTGGCCATGTCTCTGAGTATTACACACCTTGTACTTTTGGGCACTCCAGTGATGTTGCAGCTCTGAAATATGGCCAAACTGGTGGCAAGTGGCATCTTGGCAGCTGCACGCATGACTTATCTCAGTTCATGGGCAGTTATTTTGCTCCTTGGTCTGTCCACATGCTTCTTGCGACCCTGATGACTATTTTGAATGAAACGCTTGATTGTTCGATGATCACACTTCAGAAGCGTTGCAATTTTAAGACTGCTGCATCCCTCTGCAAGATATCTCACTATTTTTGACTTTTCTGAACCTGTCAAGTCCTTCTTTTGACCCATTTTGCCAAAGGAAAGGAAGTTGCCTAATAATTATGCACACCTGATAAAGGGTGTTGATGTCATTAGACCACACCCCTTCTCATTACAGAGATGCACATCACCTAATATGCTTAATTGGTTGTAGGCTTTCGAGCCTATACAGCTTGAAGTAAGACAACACTCATGAAGAGGATGATGTGGACAAAATACTCATTTGCCTAATAATTCTGCACTCCCTGTAATGCTGCTTGTAATATCAACAATCAAATGATCATACCTTGTGTTATTTTGGTCTTTTTTAACTGTCCTGCTATTAAATTTAACATGACGCCTGTAGAGGCAGAGAGGGAACTGTTTTTACCATTCCCCTGAACCTAACACACTGACCTCAGGGTAAATTTGAATCACAGTAGAGCGATCGACTCCAAATGGTTTGGAAATGGCTTTATAATGTTCACACCTGCTGCTGATTTTTTTATTGAAGTACATTTATTTGTCAGCAACTGGCGGTTGTTCAATGTCTTAATTGTAAAACTACTGCAGATGTTTCTCCTCCTTGGCATCGTGTTAACACGTCTGAGTAACCCAGAGCATTGATCTGCCAAAACCTCTGTTGCTGATGATCAGGCTTCCTCTAACTGTATTGTTTAAAGTTGTAAAGGGAGTTTATTTTTAATTGAACCTTTTGTGTTTTATTTGTATTTGTTAATAAAAATTTGGGTTTTAATCCATTTTTCATTTAAAAACATCTTTCATTACTTTTTCAGGGCCAACCTGAGCGACTCGTACTTTACCAACAGACAGGACCGGTACGTTCTTCTGGAGAACTGCAGGGAGGTGGCAGACTTCTTTTCGGACCTGGTGGAAGCGGTGGGGGATGTCTCCCTGCAGCTGCAGCCCGATGACTCGGTCACCATGCTGGAGGGCATGGTGCACCCATACAAAGGTAGAGACAAAATGTGCTGACAGATTTACACCCCAGCTGGTTTTGTCTCGGTGTGGCACTCCAAGCCTGGTTACGGCCCAACGGGCGGCACCAGGATCAGATGGATTCTGCTAATGGAGCTTGAAAGCTTAGAAAGGTGAGGAGATGCTGATCGGAGAGCCGAGCTCTGAAAGAGAACAGTGAGGAAGATGGAGAGAGGTCTTGTGGTTGGCTAGCCCTGCAGCCGGATGTGAAACTGTCAGAATTTAGACCACACACACACGCACGCACGCACGCACGCACGCACGCACACACACACACACACACACACACACACACACACACACACACACACACACACACACACACACACACACACACACACACACACACACACACACACACACACACACACACACACACACACACACACACACAGAGTGTGTCCGTAACTGGAGCGCGGCCTGCCAGGATGTTAGTTAGAAGGATGAATGACATCATGTCTGCAGGAATGAACACCAGGAATAGAGATGTGATGTCACGGTGTTGCTGGAAGGAGATATGTACAGTAGTGGGAACTGATACACACAAACACAGTTATTGGAAGTACACTTGATGAAAATACAGTAGAAGACATATTTACTGGATGACTTGTAACTGATTGAAAAACAATGATGAGTCCTCATCTGCAGCAGCAGACAGCATGGAGACAGAAGGATGTCTGCATTCTGTGATTACTGGTAATCAATAAAAACTAAAGCTGCTTTTTATGAACTTTAAATTTAAAGATCAGTTCATCAAATATCTTCACACTCTCCTTTTTGGGAAGTATAAAGCTGAATGTGACTCACGTACAGTTCTTGTTTCCAGTTGTTTCTCTCTCTGACGGGTATCTAATGTCTAGTTCCTCTGTTGGATTTGCGTCAATATATTTTTATTTTATTGCTTGTGTCTGTTTTTCTGTTCTATTTTAAACCTTTCAGAGCAAGGATAGGCTTTGGTTGTGAAATACAAATTATTTTCTTGAGACATTTGATGAAATCCCCCGTCCACCCATTTCATAAGGTAACTCTAGATCCTCACCAAAGCATCACGGACCATGAAGAAAGCAGCGTTTGCAACTCGCAAGCAGTGGTGAACTGGCTATTGGAGGGTCGATTTGCTAGCACACACACACATCAGTCAGACAGAGAAAAGGCGGCTGGCTGATACCTGGCCTGAATAATTGTCTCAGTCCATCCTTGGCACTCACCCGCCAAACATTATAACCATTCAGCTAGCAGCTAGCGTTTGGGCATTTGGATTTTAGTCACTGCCCTGACCTATCCATCGAATGTTTTAACGTTGGAATGGCACAAGATTGAAAAAGTAATCCATCTGAAAACCTACTCTGATACTGACGCTGGATCAACAAGCAGCCTTTGAAATCACGGTCACATTCTTGCACGGTTTTTGAGAGCTCCTTAAGACAAAATCTGACCATTTCTGCAGATTAAACTCTTCTTCAAGAAGACTGGACAGGCATCCTGTTCCTCTCGCAGACAAAAATTAGTGTTTTGGTTCGAGGCGTTATTTAAAGTGTAGAAGAAATCAACTCTTCACAACTGTGAAGATTAAACTCCCCGCCAGCTACACTGAGGGAACTGGGTGTTGGTATTTACAGTCCAGGAGAAGAGGGATCTGGATTCGACACTACCTGGATGGAGAGGAGCAGGGAAAGATGAAACAAACCTTCCTTATCCAAGTATTTACAATAGCTGGGCAGAGTTGAAGAGAAGCTGCAGCAGAGAGAGTAGTTTGCATGTGTGAAGCTACTGCTTTAGGGCATTCTCCATGGGGAAATAAAAATATAACATCGTCAAAAGCTCAGTCAGTTTTACAGACATGCATCTCAACTTCTCATAGTTGTAGCTGAGAGTCATTCACCACAACTGCTAACAGATCAGGCAACATATTGTAATACTGCACAACAGAATGCAGATTGTTTGCAAAAATTTAACCAAAATGACTAAGTCTCTGTGACTTTTCTACTTCTTATTTCAAATCTCTCATTAAAGGCAATATGTGCTTCTTTGTGGATTGAATTCTGCCTTTAATTCCAACACAATAGTGCTTCAAAAGTTACCATGGATATAATTAATCTAGTTAAACTTGATCCTGTAATTCAGGGGTCCCCAATCCTGGTCCTGGAGGGCCGGTATCCTGCATGTTTTAGTCTGAACTTTGTTTCAACACACCTGATTTCAATCAGCAGCTAATTAACAGGCTTCTGCAGAGCCTGATGAGCTGCTGCACAGGTGTTTCAACCACTGAATCAAGTCTGTTGGAGCAGAAAAACCACAAAACCTGCTGGATACCGGCCCTCCAGGACCAGGATTGGGGACTCCTGCAGTAAATGCTACAAAAGTTGGGGCGAAGTTTGAATCTGCAGGCGGCAGCTCTACTTTTGCTTGGTTTCATTTCTCTAATGACCTCTCCGTTCTTCAGACGGGAGGAAAGATGAAGGGTGATTTATCCTTGGATAGTTCTGTAATTTGGGTGAACTGACCCTTTAATCTAAAAGCATGTGAAAGCCAATGAGTAGCTTTTGTTTTGAACTGGTTAACTCACTTCCTGTAACCATAACCTCGTAACTACTTAGCAGACCATAAAATAAACATCAGTTTAATGTCTGAAGCCAGAACTAGACCATGTACACACACACACACACACACACACACACACACACACACACACACAGCTCTCAGAACACGGTGACCCAGAGGTCTGGCTGACCCAACTCCCTCTCAGCCACGTGTTTCTCATCATCAGGCAACCGCCAAGACTTCTCTACGGGGGCGAGGAAGCGGATCATGGAGGTTTTGAACACAGCACGCACCAGGCTGCAGCTGCAGCAGCAGCAGCTTTCCGAGAAGTCAGAGGATGAAGGCATGATGAGCGAGGGGGACGAGGACACCTGGGTGTTCCCTCTGGTGCAGATGAAGCCTCTGGGTATCCGGGTAGATGAGCAGGTCACACAGGTGAGCCCAGTTCCTGATGAACTAACGACCCATTAGTACAGCTGGTTCATATTGCACATGTGAGAAAAAATATCAAAAGGGCCATATTTGTAACCCGTCTGCCTCTACTTCCTGTCTCTCAACGGCCCGGTCCGATCCAGCGCCTGCTGACAGACGCCGGGTCGGGCTCCACTGTGTATCTAACATCAGGTTACTTCAACCTGACCCGCGCATACATGCGGCTGGTGCTCGGGGCCGGAGCCAGCTACCGCATCCTGACTGCCTCCCCGGAGGTCAATGGGTTCTTTGGGGCCAAAGGCGTCGCTGGTGCCATCCCTGCAGCATACATCCACATCGCCCGGCAGTTTTACAACCAGGTGTGTCGGCTGGGTCAGCAGGAGAGAGTCCACCTGCACGAGTACCACCGGTCTCAGTGGACGTTTCACGCTAAAGGTCTGCACAAGAAAAACACCCAGGTCCACAGATAACAGGCTTCATTTACACGGTTTTAAAAACGGTCAGACTTTGCTTTATGTGCGTCTAAAGACGTGAGGGAAGCTTTGTTAGTTTGTATTTTATCAAAGAAACATCAGAAACAGTTGGTTTTTATTCTAGAGTCTGTTTCAGCATCCACTGTTAGATGATGGTGTGCGGCTGCATGGTGCACTGTTGCCTTGCAGTAAAAAGGTTGCAGGTGTGAATCCCACCTGCGACTTTTCAGGTTGGAGTTGGCATGTTCTCCCCATGCATGTGTGGCTTTTCTGCAGGTGCTCAGGTTTCCACCCACAGACCAGAAACATGCGTGTCAGGTTAATGGGACACTTCATTGTCTGTAGGTGGGAGTGTGTGTCCCTGGCATGTTCTGGTGACCTGTCCAGGGCGTCCCCCATCTCTCACCCGACGACTGCTGGAGACCAGCTCCCTTTGATGCTACTGAGAATGAAGCGGGTTAGAAAATGATGACTGAGTGAGATCTGCTCATATTACAGCCCGATGTAAAAACTACTCCTAATCCCATCAGTGCTTCTGGTCCTGCTCACTCTGAGCTCTGCTGGGGTAGAAATAGTTCAGACTAATTAAAGTGAAGTTGTGTCAGCCATCTTTACGAAGGGTTTTATGTATCCTAAAGAAGAAAAAAAAACTTACAGTAACCTGAAACATTCTGTTAACCTTCAGTGCTGTCTGGTGATTCCTCTGCCTGATAGACGTTTCTTCCTCAGGCGCTGCTTGTGAGAAATCTGTGTCTCTGGGCTGCCGTTTCTGTTTATTCTTTTGTAGTAAACAGTCTTTAACATTTTTTCAACCATAGATCTTTTGTCGCCTGACCCAAAACGGTTTTCTTTTTTTTCTTTACAAAGGGGCTTATATTATATCAGTTTACCAATCAGGACCTCCACCTTGTTGTTTTCTTTTACTTTTATCTTCATTTGACAGGAGAGTCTATTCAAAAGAAAGTAGGTCAGTGTTAATGACGGATTGGATGGTGTGCTAAATAAAATCATTGTGACGACAAATGAACCAAACATGTTTGGTATGTGTTCCTGCTGAAGCTCGCTCTTGAATGGAATAAACTATTTTACTCAGGAACTTCTACGTCAGCTGGATAAACAAACACCTGATGACTAAAACAAATCTGGGGCAGAAGATCTGAAAATAAAACAAATAAAACAAGCTACAAGACTCCAAAAAATCACTTAAAGATGGCTGCCACAGCCCTTTAGCAAACACAAACACGTAAAAACTAAAGTCCATTTCACAGATATGCTTTACATTGACACTGTAGTAAGTAAAGTCATTTGCAACAAATGTTTAAAGCGCTGACAGATTCCACAAAGTCTTTCTAATCGGACTAAAACGGCTATAAATGGTGATGATTGTCTTTTTGTTATGAAGGTCGTGGGCTGAGGGTTAGAGCTTTCATTTATTTGATATTTTAGACCTGTTTGTTTTATAACTTCCCTCCAAGTATCAGCTAGGTGATGTTTTATTATTATTATTATTTAAAACTGACTTATTGAGAACATTTCTGGTTTTATGAGGACCTAACTGGATTCAGGTGCTGTGTGTTTCCACAAAGGGAAGTATTTCACAATTTAGTTTACACACACACACACACACACACACACACACACACACACACACACACACACACACACACACGTATACGTATTTATATGTTTGTGTGGACCCCCCACTGACTTCCATTCATTTTAGTGACTCCACTATGCCTAACCATACCCAAACGGGTTATTTTCCTAACCCTAGCCTGATCTAAAAGTTAATTCACACCATAGCTGTAAAACCAGGTTTTAGGGTGTTTAGCATTGTGTGGACCGGCAAAAATGTCCCCATAATGTAAAAATGTCCACACAGCACAGGTTAACCCTCTCAGGCTCCAAATAAGTTTTGATAAAAGGACGAACAACTAAGTCCTTCAGGGGTACTTCTGAGTTAAATGCTCATAAATACGTATGTGGAGTAACCAGGTAGGTAGGTTTTAACGTTGTAAATCTGCAACGTCTGGATGAAGAGGTATGTTGTCTGAGACAATAGCTTGTACAGTCACTCTGTTGTAGCCCCAGGACAGGGATGCACACTCACTCTCATACTTTTGGGGTTTGGATCAACACAGGGGATTTTCTACATGTGCTTCCTGTTAGTTGTGGTTTTGGTCGACAGAAATCTGTTCTGGAAACATCTCCCTGAAGCATTACCTCCTCTCTGACTCCCACTTTCCCCTCCCCCCTACAGGTCTGTGGTATTACCTCCAGGGGCAGGATCGGCCTTGCCTCACTCTAATTGGCTCCCCTAATTTTGGTTACCGCTCGGTTCACCGTGACCTGGAGGCCCAGATCGCCATAGTAACGGAGAACGAGGAGCTGCAGACACAGCTGCAGGAGGTCTGGTCATTACCCTAAATTTAGCAGCCAAAAAAGTAATGAATGACTGTGTAACTCTAACCTGAACACACACACACACACACACACACACACACACACACACACACACACACACACACACACACACACCTGTGTTTCACTCTGACAGGAGCAGGAGATGTTGTACCAGCGCTCCACAGAGGTGTCCAGCTCCACCTTCGAGCGGCCCGACCGCTACGTCAAGCTGTGGGTCAAACTGGTCACACCCCTCATCAAGAACTTCTTCTGAGAGCAGGTGCACACACACACACACACACACACACACACACACACACACACACACACACACACACACACACGTGATGCACGAACACCATTTCATTTATTTTGGGTTAAACCAGTTCAGATTCCTTGAAGGAATTCATTTGGACCAAAATTATTTTACGATGAAAACAATAATGGAGTTGATGATGTTTTTGATCACATCTTTAAAATAACAATATTGCAACACACTGTTACACAATGTGCAGCTGTTAGCATCAAGCTGTAGCTCAAAATTAGCCTAATAGCTAAGGTTCTAGCCATTTTTGTTACAGAGACGGTTGATTAGTTATGGTGGTCTTCTCGAGTGGAGCGCACTCCACAACACGACAAACACACTCCTACATGCAAAAACATTATGTTCAGACTTTTGGAGTTGTGGCTTGTTTATATTCAGATCTTCTGCCCCAGATTTGTTTTAAGGGCGACGGTGGCACAGGAGTTAAGTGCTCGCCCCGTAATCGGAAGGTTGCAGGTTCGAGCCCCGCTCAGTCTGTCGCTGTCGCTGTGTCCTTGGGCAAGACACTTAACCCGCCTTGCCTGCTGGTGTGGTCAGAGGGACTGGTGGCTCGGCAGCCTCGCTTCTGTCAGTGCGCCCCAGGGCAGCTGTGGCTACATCGTAGCTCATCCCCACCAGTGTGTGAATGTGTGTGTGAATGGGTGAATGACTGATTGTGTTGTAAAGCGCCTTGGGGGGTTCCAGGACTCTAGGAGGCGCTATATCAAATACAGACCATTTACCATTTAATCATCAGTGTTTTTGTTTATCCAGCTGACGTAGGAGTTCCTGAGTAAAATAGTTTATTCCATTCAAGAGCGAGCGAGAACATACCAAACATGTTTGGTTCATTTGTCGTCAGAATTATTTCATTTAGGACACCATCTAATCCATCACCTGCACTGGCCCACGTGGGTGATCAAAAAGTAGGAAAGACTTTGTATGAAACGAGCAGCTGGATGATCAAACAGGATTTGTGGAAAAGTCAATAATAGTGACGGAAAGGTGAGCAAGTTCACATTAGGTGCTCACACGCACACACGTAGAACAATATATAAAAAAAAATAATAATATACTTGCATAAACATTTAGTAATGTATATACATTACAACTTATGCATATTATTACTTAGATTAGCCATTTTTATATTTGACTGTTTTTACATTACTGTATTTTTGCATAACTCTGTTGCTGTGAAGCTCGCACACAAGAATTTCACTCGCATGTACTGTACCAGTGTACCTGCACATGTGACGTGACAATAAAAGTGATTTGATTTGATTTGATTTTGATTTGAATTGGGTCATTTTTGCCAAAAAATAAGTTTTTTTAAATTTTTTTGTGAAGTTGACAGCAGCCTTCATTCAGATGGCTGTTTTATAACGAGGTTCTAACATTTGGTTATCGTTTACACAACTTCCAGGAGAAATGCGTTCAAACTCCCATTTAGCAGCACAATCGTTATCTTTACCACCCACGCATCTGATTCCTTCATCCTGTTTACGGAACGCTTTTGTTCAACATCAAAGTGTTAAAAAACCAGATGAGGTGCAACCACCAGTGATTCGCAGACAGAATGAAACAAGCTGGATGGAGACAGAGTAAAAAATATAAGATTAGGCAGATTTGGAGCCGATCACAAACTCTCCTTCTGGGAGGTTTAGTCTTTTTTTGTGAATTTCAGATGTGAGTTGAATTACAACCAGCAAAAACAAAGTGTCGCTTAAGTTGTTTTTCAAGCTTCAGAAACTCAAAAATGAGGAAAAATATTCAACAAAATGGAATCGGATCTTTTAATAGTTGTAAATAATGTGTGTAATTTGTAGAAATCTGAGTCATTTTTGGTGTTTTTGTTCAGAGTTGGTCTTCATTGGTTTGTAGGCAAAACACAGCCTCAGCATACTGTGCAGAAACACACACACACACACTAGAAAGAATGTGGCTTTTTCAAAATGTTTGCAGTCACTGCGGTGATTCCCGAGATCTCAGGTCCCGTCTCGGTCTTCCCAGCAGCCAGAATCACCACGGTGAGAGCGGGGACAGCGAGTCGGCTGATTCACGGCTGTAGAGGAGTGAGTCACTGTGGCGTTATGGTGATGATTTGACACTGTGGTCTTTGAGCCCTGTCGGGACTCGAAGAGGCGAGGTCGATGGGCTCATGAACCCAGAATCAGAGTAAACAGACGAGTTCTGCTGTCTGGAAACCAGAAGTTCACGATGAGCAGAGAGTCTGCTGGAGTGAAGCAGCTTTTACGGGTCAGATAAGTTCAGGGAGGTGTGTGAAGAGACAGGTTTATCCTCTGTTCTGATGCACCAGCTGAAGGGAGGCTCGTCAGCCGCTGAGTGAGAGAAAGCCGCTCGGTTTCTAAGAACAGGAAGTGTCACAAGCTGGATATTGACGGTAAACGGGCGGTGTCTTATCACCACCTGAGCATTGCCAGGACAGAGGGAAAAGGCTTGAGTCATCTGCTGCCAGAAGGAAGCTGTTTAAAATAGATCATCTTTCTTCCCTGGAGCAGAACAAGCATGCATGCCATGATCCTCCGACTGTAATGAGTGTATTTACACCCAGTGTTAGAAAGGAGTGAGAAAACTGGTTTCATTTGCGCTACCGGCTCAGTGACTTGCGCTCAGACGGGCTGGCTGATGACGACCGGCTCGACCTTTTACAGCCTATTATTAACAGGGCTTGTGAAGGCTGCAAGCGCTGCACCATGTGAGCTTTGACCGTAATAAACCATAACAATAAAGCCAAAAATCAGGCCTCACATGCAAGATGTCTTGTTTCTGTCTGGGTGTTACACCCATATCACATCCTCCTATCTGGTTTGTTAGATAACTTTTTTCTTCTAGGGAGGATAAAACGTTCAAAATGTGTTTTATTTTAAATACAATGACACTTGAGCACAAAATATTTATCTCCGATCACTGCTTACTGTGTGTGAAACTGTTTCTCAATAAAACATGCCTGCTAAAATCTAGTTTGGGTTTCATTTAGATTATTTTAGAGGCAGGATGACTGTGAGGAGTTTTTATCAATTTTTTTCATCTTTCTGAACAATTCTATGCTTTTCATATCTGAAGTAAATTCAGAGGAAACCCGCTGACACGCACATTTTAGTTCCAGTTATGAGTCAAGTTGAAAAATCTGAATTTAACTATTGAAATTCAGTCACGTTTTAGAGGTTTAAAGTAAAAGCTGGTGGATAGAAAATGTTTTTCTCCCACTTATTATCTTTAATTATGTTTTGTTTTCAAATAACCTGTGTGTGTTCTTTTTTTAAAGTTCTTGTTTCCTTCTGGTGAAGGGACCCGCCCACTTGAATTCCAGTATCTCCTTTTTTTCTGAACAAGGAAAAAAAAACAACAAACAATAGCCTTGCCAGTTAGCGGTGCGAACAGATCTGATCTACACACCTCCCCTCATTGTTAGAAACAGCCTGAAGCTGATCCAGAGTCAACAGAATCCTCTGATGACCACTCAGCAGGTTTGGGTGGTTTCTGGGGACGTGGCTGCCCTCTTGTGGTCCACCAGAAACCTGCTCTGGCACCAGGGTGGATCTGATGGGTAGTTTGGGATGAACACGCTGGCATCCGAGCATCTGTGGTAGAGCAGCAACAAGGAATCCGAGAATTCAACTGAAACTGTTTAAGTTGCATTGGACTGTGCAAAAGTCTTGAGCCATGTTTTCTTTCAAACACTGATTTCTTGTAAGGATATTTGTTTTGTTAACTTACAGGTGCTGGCCAGTAAATTAGAATATCATCAAAAGGTTGAAAATATTTCAGTAATTCCATTCAAAACGTGAAACTTGTACATTATATTCATGCAATGCACACAGACCAATGTATTTCCAATGTTCATTACATTTAAATTTGATATTCATAAGTGACAACTAATGAAAACTCCAAATTTGGTATCTCAAAAAATTAGAATATTCTGAAAAGGCTGAATATAGAAGACACCTGCTGCCACTCTAATCAGCTGATTTACTCAAAACACCTGCAAAGGCCTTTAAAAGGTCCCTCAGTCTTGTTTTGAAGGCACCACAATCATGGGGAAGACTTCTGACTTAACAGCTGTCCAAAAGACAATCATTGACACCTTGCACAAGGAGGGCAAGACACAAAAGGTGATTGCTAAAGAAGCTGGCTGTTCGCAGAGCTCTGTGTCCAAGCACATTAACAGACAGGCGAAGGGACGGAAAAAATGTGGTAGAAAAAAGTGTACAAGCTCTAGGGATAACCGCACCCTGCAGAGAATTGTGACGACAAACCCATTCAAAAATGTGGGGGAGATCCACAAAGAGTGGACTGCAGCTGGAGTCAGCGCTTCAAGAACCACCACGAGGAGACTCATGAAAGACATGGGATTCAGGTGTCGCATTCCGTGTGTCAAGCCACTCTTGAACAAGAAACAGCGCAAGAAGCGTCTCGCCTGGGCCAAGGACAAAAAGGACTGGACTGATGCTGAGTGGTCCAAAGTTATGTTTTCTGATGAAAGCAAGTTCTGCATTTCCTTTGGAAATCAAGGACCCAGAGTCTGGAGGAAGAGCGGAGAAGCACAGAATCCACGTTGCATGAGGTCCAGTGTAAAGTTTCCACCGTCAGTGATGGTGTGGGGTGCCATGTCATCTGCCGGTGTTGGCCCACTCTGTTTCCTGAGGTCCAGGGTCAATGCAGCCGTCTACCAGGAAGTTTTAGAGCACTTCATGCTTCCTGCTGCTGACCAACTTTATGGGGATGCAGACTTCACCTTTCAACAGGACTTGGCACCTGCACACAGTGCCAAAACCACCAGCACCTGGTTCAAGGACCATGGTATCCCTGTCCTTGATTGGCCAGCAAACTCGCCTGACCTTAACCCCATAGAAAATCTATGGGGTATTGTGAAGCGGAGGATGCAATACGCTAGACCCAACAATGCAGAGGAGCTGAAGACGACTATCAGAGCAACCTGGGCTCTCATAACACCTGAGCAGTGCCACAGACTGATCGAGTCCATGCCACGCCGCATTACTGCAGTTATTGAGGCAAAAGGAGCCCCGACTAAGTATTGAGTGCTATACATGCACATTCTTTTCATGTTCATTCTTTTCAGTTGGCCAACATTAGAGAAACAAACATTTTTTCATTGGCCTTTAGAATATTCTAATTTTCTGAGATACCAGATTTGATGTTTTCATTGGTTGTCACCTATAAATATCAAAATTAAACGTAATAAACATCGGAAATACATTGGTCTGTGTGCATTGCATGAATATAATGTACAAGTTTCACGTTTTGAATGGAATTACTGAAATATTTTCAACCTTTTGATGATATTCTAATTTACTGGCCAGCACCTGTACATAAACTCTGACCCTCTAAATAATGCAGGTGAAAAATTGGCTCCAACCCAAAGAATAAAACCAGCATCAAGGCAAACGTAGTGAACTAATACTGTAATGTTGGTTCCAACATGCTGTCAGAGACACAGTTTGTTCTTATTTCTTAAATCTAACATATGAATACAATTTTAGCAACTCAAATGTGATTGCCAACGTTTTATTAGCAGAAAACTTGTCGTCGGCTGAGACTAAATTTCATTAATGTTACTGTATGTGAGACATGCCAAGAGTCTTTTTCAGTTGTTTTAGAAGGTTATACTGAAAGATATTTTATATCCAGCTGGCTGTGGGGATTGTCAGTTTCCCCTTTCAGAACAAAGGAAGGAGGGACATAACTACTGTTTACCATCAGTGAGCGTGGGATTACCATGTCTCCTGTGAGCTGATACTGCGACGCAGACATTTGTACTTTGACAACAGCCAGCAAAAAGCTGCAGATTCATGTAAAGTCGTTGCAGTAACCAAATCTTCATCTCTACATAATGCACCTTTAAACTTTTACTTTTGTAATTTGAACTCTTCAGATCTTCTTCTTGGATTTATATGAAAATAACCAAAGGATCAGCTGATTTTTTAAAAAAGTAGTTCAACTTGTTAGCATCCCGATTTATCACTGGCATTTTCAAAATAAGTGTACAAAAGCAGTTGCAAAGTAAAATTGCAAGTCATGTTTTTGAAATTCAGCACAAAAAAGGATAACTTGATGGAAATCTGGTTTTCCTGGCTTTGCCGTCTCCATTTCAGTTAGAATGAAGATCTTAGTTCAAAGAGGAGGCTGAAGTCTTTGTTTTTATACAGTGAGGCCATCCAGGGTTCTGATCCTGAATAAACAGATGCTTCAGAACACAAAAGCCCGGGAGCTGATAGGGAGGCTGACCTGGAACATTTCAGCCTTCACATCTCGTCCTTCACGATGATAAAACACCACAGCTGATCCCCTCAACAGGGAGTTTCTGTAACTTGAGATCCAGCACAGAATTCTGGACATTTTTCCCTTTTTGTTTTCTGCAGGTGGGTTGTGTGTTCCTGTCCTGAGGTGAGGGTCAGTGAAGGTCGGCCCTGCTGCTGAGACACAATCAGCATCACCTCCTCAGAGGAAATGGCTCCAACATGCACACGCAAGAGAGAATGCATGCCGTGGATCTGGGGGTAAATTCTCCACATTTAAGCTCACTCTGTTTTTCAGCACACCTCAAAGTGGTTATAACTGGAAACATTTAAAGAAAACAAATCCACTCCCCTTACTGTCCATCCACGTGTTGCATGCATGAACAGAGACGAGTGTCTTTGCTGTAATGATGAACAGACGGGTGTGGTGAAGCACGACGGTCCCTCGAGGGGCTTTAATAACAGCTCAGACGGTGTGTTTACAGTCCTGCCCAGAGATAGTGTGTACAGTTATGTGTTATTACGTTTGTAAATTAATACAGTTATGTGTTATTACGTTTGTAAATTAAAGGAAGAGAAGATTTTATTAAATGTTTGTCCTTTTTGTTGTCGGGGGGGACAAGATCAATAGATTTTTAAAAGAAAAGTTTTAGTCACAAAACTGACAGCAAAATAATCCTCTATTTTAATTTGGTTACAGATCAGATTATCAACTCTAACATGAACAGAGGTCAGGATCAGCTGGTAACAAGTTTAAGTTTAGTTCTGACAGCCCAAAGACACCTGAGACCCAAAAATGTAAATATCAGCATTCGCCCTGTGACTCTTGCCAAATGCTCCGTTTGGTTTATTCCAGCTGTTTCACAATGGGCTGTCTGGAAGGAAACATCTGCAGCAAAATAAAATACCCGACAGACTTAAAATCACTTAGTAGAAAAAAAATTATGCCAAATGTTGTCTCTTCAAACCTGCCGCTATACTGGAGTGATCCCAGTCTGCAGTGGTCAGTAGTGATACAGCTACAAGACGGTCCTGTGCCGTTTGATCCGATAAGACAACAGGATGTGAGAACAACCCTGAAAACTTGCCTCGCTAACTGCATCCTGTGTGGGTGTTGTACAAACAAACCACAGCGGAGCGTTTCAACGTTCTTCTGCAGCTCCCAATACATTTTTATTGATGCCACAAGCATCTTTTCATGAAGGGGAATTTCCCAGTTTACCCGAGCCTTTCATCACCTGGTTGACAGGTGTGTACACACACACACACACACACACACACACACACACACACACACACACACACACACACACACACACACACACACACACACACACACACACACACACACACACACACACACACACACACACACACACACACACACACACACACACACACACACACACACACACACACACACACACACACACACACATTTGCTGTTTGGATAATATCAGTGATTTAATAACTCCTCCAGATGTAGATAAGCTCCTGAGTGACAGATTTACCATTTTAAGAGGCCATTATTAGGCCCGAGCAGCGAAAGCGCTGCGAAGGCCTCTTGTTTTTGCTCTGTTTATTCTTTTTTATTTATTATTCTTAGCCCGCTTTGAATGGCCTTTTGGGGACCTTATCATTCCCCAAAACTCACAATATTTTGCAAACATGTCAGGCCTGGTGAAAAATTTGATATTTTAAAGGTCCCAAAAAAATCGCACAGGAAATGACTGAACAGCGCCCCCTAGAAAGTGAAAAAAAACCCTCCCCATAAAGCTTAGTTTATCGTACAGTTATGAAATTTGGTACACTTGTAGTACTCAACAGTCCGCACAGAAAAGTCTCTTGCAAGCATGGTCAATATCAAACAGAAAGTCGGCCATTTTGGGTTGAAATGGCGATTTTTTGCAGTTTTGGCCGTTTTTAGGGTCCGTTTCTGACTGGATTGCTCGATCACTTTTCGCACAATCGTCTCAAAAGTGGTGTAAAATTGCTCAGAAGAGATGGGCGAAAAAAATGAGACAAGGATTCTGAGTTTTCGTATATGTTGAAGGGGCGGGGTCAGGCCTCAAAGTTTGACTACTCGCCAAATTTTTTTAAATTGCTATAACTTCATAACTGAATGGAATAGAGTTACCAAACTTTCTGTGGTCATTCGTCATCCAACCACAAAGTAAAATGAATGGTCGGATGATGACATCACACAAGCCCCGCCCCCTCAGGACCAAAAAGGTCAAGTTTTACTGTGAAAGGTCCCAAATTGCCCCATTTCACGTAATCACCAAATATTTGTAGCTGGTAACTCAAGACAAGTGGAGGTTGCTTGGCGTCACTTTATGGGAGTTTTCGGCAGAGGGCGGGGCTGTGGCGGCGCGGCGAAGTCAGGCGTACCGCCGTGGCCTTACGTTTGCCTCCCATTTCGTCATTTCTAAAGATATCGTCAGGAAACTTCTTGTGAGTGATCCTAGTCCAGCCCCCCAAAAGATCTGATGTGAACATCCGGTGGGCGTGGCCTATTTTCTGAAATAGCGCCCCCTAGGACCATTAAAACTGTCAGCCCCAAGCCATGCTTTGACTGAGGATTATGAAATTTGGTACACTAATGTGGTGTCTCAGGCCCTACAAAAAAGTCTCTTGGAGCCAAGTGCAAAGTCGCACAGGATGTCGGCCATTTTGGTCCAAGTACGCGATTTAGTGGTTTTCGCACACGTTGTTTGGAGAGTGATGCTCCGTCGCCCTTTTCACCAATCGCCTTCAAACTTCTGCCATATACTCTTAAGTCATAGGGGAAAAAATTCAACCGTCGGATTTTTCAAAAGTTGAAAGGTGTGGGCGTGGCTAAGCCTCAAACTTTGACCTGTCGCCACGCCACTCTTTTTTTCACAGCTCCCTACTGGACTCCTTTTACCCAATCAGCAGAAATCTCTGGCAAATAGCAGTAGACAACTTGAGGTCACTTGGTATCCAGTACTGGCAGGTTTCAGAAAAAGGCGGGGCTTTGGGAGCATGGCGAAAATCGCCATCACGCCATGGAAATACGTTTGCCTCTCATTTCTTCAGTTATCGTGATATTGCTACGAAACCTATGGGGAGTGATCCTAGTCTGACTCTCAAGAGACATAGACATCTGAATTTTGTGGGCGTGGCCTATGTTTTGAAATAGCGCCCCCTAGGACCATTTAAACTATTAGCCCCAAGCCATGCTTTGACTGAGGATTACGAAATTTGATACACTAATGTGGTGTCTCAGGACCTACAAAAAAGTCTCTTGGAGCCAAGTGCAAAGTCGCACAGGAAGTCGGCCATTTTGGTCCAAGTACGCGATGTAGTGGTTTTCGCACACGTTGTTTGGAGAGTGATGCTCCGTCGCCCTTTTCAGCAATCGCCTTCAAACTTCTGCCATATACTCTTAAGTCATAGGGGAAAAAATTCAACCGTCGGATTTTTCAAAAGTTGAAAGGTGTGGGCGTGGCTAAGCCTCAAACTTTGACCTGTCGCCACGCCACTCTTTTTTTCACTGCTCCCTACTGGACTCCTTTTACCCAATCAGCAGGAGTCTCTGGCAAATAGCAGTAGACAACTTGAGGTCACTTGGTATCCAGTACTGGAAGGTTTCAAAAAAAGGCGGGGCTTTGGGAGCATGGCGAAAATCGCCATCACGCCATGGAAATACGTTTGCCTCTCATTTCTTCATTTATCGTGATATTGTTACGAAACTTCTGGTGAGTGATCCTAGTCTGACCCCAAAGAGAGAAAGACAGCTGAAATATGTGGGCGTGGCCTAATTTCTGAAATAGCGCCCCCTAGGACCATTTAAACTAATAGCCCCAAGCCATGCTTTCACTGAGGATTACAAAATTTGGTACACTAATGTGGTGTCCCAGGACCTACAAAAAAGTCTCTTGGAGCCAAGCACAAAATTGCACAGGAAGTCGGCCATTTTGGTCCAAGTACGCGATTTAGTGGTTTTCGCACACGTTGTTTGGAGAGTGATGCTCCGTCGCCCTTTTCACCAATCACCTTCAAACTTCTGCTATATACTCTTAAGGAATAGGGGAAAAAATTCAACTGTCGGATTTTTCAAAAGTTGAAAGGTGTGGGCGTGGCTAAGCCTCAAACTTTGACCTTTCACCATTACTTGACTTAATAACTCCCATGTGCATGATCAGATCTTTTTCGAACTTTGTCTGTGTGATCATTGACCATATCTGTAAACAATGACAATGTGGACAGCTGACATCATCTAAGCCCCGCCCCCTGACTAAAGGAAGTTATTATTTTATGCTGAAATGCCCATATTTGTCCCCTCTAATTTAGTCAACATGACCCCTAGGTCATGCACTGTCTTCATGATGCTGTAATGGCCATTCAAATCCGATAGCTTTCCAGAAAGGGAGGGGCTTTGATGCCATGGTGAATTCTGGCGTAACGCCGTAACCTTACAATTCAATTTAATGGTGAGCTCAGAGGGGATGCTTAGTCAGGGTGAGGTGCGGACTAGGAGGCCATTTGCTGTTTCCGGTGACGGGATGATTGACGTTTCTGTTCTGCCAGACATGCCCTGGTGCCCCGGGCTGCCGGCCAGGCCGGAGCGGCGCGGAGCTGCGAGGGCCGAACGACGCTGCTTGCAGCTTTAATATATGTTTACTGCTGAACCAACAGGTTTGAAGTAAAAACAAAAAATAGCTTCATATTTTTAGATTTACTGTACTGAATCCTGTGAAAATAAAACTTAAGTTTGAAACAAGAATTTGTATTTTAATGACAAAAAGGATAAATTACAAGAAATCTGGATAATAAATATTTAGCGGTTTCATTGGTTTAAACAGTGTACTGACAACAGAACAGCAGTGAGAAAACAGGCTTGTTACAGAGTATTATCACCTGATCAGGTCCAGCTTTATAAATCTGAGTGGACAGTTTGTGATTGTTCTGTTCAGTGTTTTGTCGTGATGGGTTTCTTTTATGTTCTGAGCTTTACTGCCATTTTTCTTCCTGTTGAGTTGCCGCAGAGCAGCTGCTGAGTGTGAAAAGGCTCTTGGGTCAATATGACTCATTTCAACAGCGATTACAGCCGATTTTCAGATGTGTGGGAGTCTGAACCAGAGGGTAGAGTCCATGTGCTGCTCAGGTCAGGCCCTCATACACTCACATGATGGGGAAAATTACAAATACCAACTTCTCCTGCGTGAATATGAGGTCAAGCCTGTGAATAGGGAGTAAGTCCATTCAGATAGAAACAAAGGGGGAGCAGGTCTGAGAGTCACTGCTGTGGGAACATCAGGTCCAGCTCCGCTCCGGTCTCCTTACAGCTCTACGAACCTCTCACACTGGAGATCTTCTTCTTCCGAGCTGCCAGCATCTCATAAAATGGGTCTTTGCTGATGGCAGCCCTGCAGGTTTTCAGAGAGGAAGACCGTCAGTCTGCAGCTTCATCATTATTCTGATGATCTGGAAGGAAAAATGACTCACTTGATGCTGTTGATCCATTCATCCTTCTTCTCTGTGGTTGGGGCAGAGATTCTGTAAACTGTGTGGTTGCCCTCGACGACCCGCCCGTCTGCCTCAGTCTTACAGGCCTTGATCACCTGATCTTTGTTGTTGGCAATGAAAAGCTCAAAGCAGTTCTGGGAAACAAAGATGGAATAAAAGAGTCTGGAGGTTCATGTAGTCACTCCCAACAGCTTCAGTTAATTATGTCAGGATTCCTGCAAATGCATGTGCTGCCATGGCAACCTTGATGTTGCACACAGTGAGCCTCTTATTTAGCAGCTTTATCTGAATATTCGACTTTGTTTCACTAAAGGTAAACTACTGGCTCTTCATTCTGAAATGCGTCGTTTATCTTTTGTGTTCCATCTCATTGTAAATCTACAGGAAATGTTTGTCCTTAAACAACAAGAACTGACAGGAAGTCTACTAATCTGACTCTGAAGAAGTCTGCTACGTTGAAAGGAGAAATGAGTAGGAATCCTGTTGTGTGTGAGAAAAAAAGTTACTGTTTAGGATAAGTCAGATGATTAAACCAACACCGCATCCATCAGAGCCACATTTCCAATGAGAAAACAAACATTTTGCTGCAGACCAGTAATCTGACCTGCAACTGTGTTTAAAAACAGATTAAACTGTTTTCTTCATTTTAGGCCTGATGCTCTTAACCCTCTGGGGTCCAGGGTGTAATTGGCTGTTTTTGACTAATTTAGAGTTTTCCTTTGTATTTCCAAAATAAAAACCATAACCACTGCCTTAAGCCGGGCGTACACTGTGCGACTTTTTCACTCGTAGCACTCAGCTTCAGCTCAAACTGTACGACTTCCTCGCAGGGCTGATCTCACGAGCCAGGCGCTCACACTGCACGACCCAGTTCTCGGGCGGGTTGGATGAGGAAACAAAAAGAAAGTAAATCTGTTTTGTGATCAGTTTAATTTGACATGAACACGACAAACACGCTTTCTTGACAATCTTTCTGAGTAAAAAAAAAACGTGTAGAAACAAAAACGAACAACGTGTGTTATTAGGGAAATAGCGGGCGAGCGGCGTTGATGCAGGATTGCGCATGTGCCGTGAGCGGTTCTGATACATTTTGGGTTGCAGCTGCTCGCAGCGCCGCTTCAACAGTGCGATACCCTCATGAGGGACGAGCAAAATATTAAACACGCCAGAAGTAGGTGCGAGGCCACGATTGCTGATCGGCAGCTGGTCACGTGGTGTTAATCGCCTCTCGTAACCCTCTGTACACTACACGACCGCTCAGCGCAAAACTCGCCCCGATCTCGTGAATTCTCGCACGAGTGGAAAATCGGCTCAAAAAAGTGAAAAAGTCGCACAGTGTACGCCCGGCTTCATCTTTTCAGCACAACCTGGACTTTATACTTATCTATACTTATTTTTTTATATTTGGACATAAAGCGGGTTGCATATTAGACCTCAAATCACTCAAAAATCCAAATTGGAAAAAAGTTGTTTATTTTACTGTGAAACCAACAAACATTTATGACGAATGTTTTTTATAATGTAGAATGGTAATCTAGACTGTAAATTTATAAAAAAAAATATGACTAAATATAGCAAATAACAAATAAAAAAAATTGCCCTCTGGGGTCCAGGGTGTAAATCACTGACTCATTTTGGTTTTTCTTTTGTATTTTCTAATAAAAAACAAGAAATATTGCCTTATGGGTATCATTTTTTTCAGGACAACCTGGACTATCTGAATTTATACTTATTTTATTAATTTGGCAATAATGTACATGCATTTTGGAGTGGGGAGTGGCTCTGTCTCACGCAGAGATCTGACAGCTGCGCGGTGCCGGATCTCCGAGGAGCTGCATCTCTGCCTTCATCCTCTACCTCATCATGACCCAACTCTTCTATGAGGAAGAATGGATACGCCACATCATCATCAACATCCTCGCTATTTGCCTCAGACTCCGGCTGCGAGTCTCCGTCCACTTCCTCTGCTTCCAGTTCAAAAAACAGCCGTACTATCTGAACTGCCTGGTGGACATTTATCCTTCTCATCATCCTTTATTAAAGCCTAATAAAAGCCTACTAAACTGCAGCGACAATATATCTGTCCGGATCGCTCCAAAATATGAAGTTTACCGTCAATATCTGTCTAATTGTTTGTTGTTACTCCGTTCGCACCACTCCTTTCCCCGCAAAGCGGCTCCTTTTTGCGCACATCTCGTTGCTCGTGTAGCCTTCCTCTCCCTCTCAGCTACATAATGATACTTTTTATCAATGAATATGTGAGACTTCCACCAACAGCAAATGGATCTCATGTGTTTGTGGGGTTTTTTATGTTCACAAGCACGTTCCCTCTCACGGATTACTAAACTGCTGTTCTGACAAGTTATCAGATTGTCTAAAAATAGGTCGTTTTTTAGTTTAGTAGAACTCCACTTTTACATTGCCTATAAACAAATTTTAAAAACTGGGGTAGTTTATAATCTCTCCTTTTTAAAGCTGAATTGAAACCGAAACTCAGGGAGGTGGAGTCTTGCTGCTACAGCGTCCCAAATCAGACCTGTTCAAAAGACGCGTAGCGTATATGCGTCCATGGACCCCAGAGGGTTAAAGTGTTAAACTATACAAAAGAAAAACCAATAAATAAAAAGATCAGTAGCTTACTGGTTTCTTTGAGTCTTCCACTTCTTTTATACTCAGATTTTCCAGAGGAATAATCCCCCTGGGTTCTTTATCCTTGTAAAAGAGAATAAATTGCAGAGTGAGTGCTGTTTGTTGACCTTAAACAAGCAGTCTGTGTTGATCAGAATCCTACTGCAACAAGAACTCACTGTAGTGTATTCAAAGTAGTACAGGCAGTTATCTGTGAGAATGAACCAGCGTCTCTTCCAGGTCTTCACTCGCCCACCTGAGGACAGATTATAAAGGACTAGATCTTCCCAGAGACACGCAGCAGCAGCAGCACATACCAGCAGGTTAATTAAAGCCCAGAGAGTAGAAACTCAGATTAGAACTTGGCCCAGCAGATGTGAAGTGTTGTTCTTCACATCTGGACACAGCATGAGCGTACAGCAGAGGGTAAGGTCTGACATGAACGATGATTCGTCTACATTTATTCAGACTGCAGCTGCGATGCAAAGGTGAACGCACACCAATGGATGGAGGGGGGGGGGGAGGGGGGGCTCTGTGGCAAAGCAGTGCACAGAAGCTAGAGCGGTTAAAGAACACTTACCTCCTGGAGTCACAACCATGAAACACAAACAAGAACAATGTTAAGAGGCCAGCAGAAACATTTACTCCATTCAGTTTTAACAGCACAGGATGGTGTTTCTCAAACTGTCCACATGAGGGCGATCTTGCTTTAGCCGTAAAGATGGAGATTAAATCTAAATGTTCACTTACCGAGTTTTAGCAGCCAGCCTTCTTTGTCGGGGTTGAAGAAGGTGTGTGTGAGATCGTTCCCATCATCCTCTGGGATCTTAAAGGGTTCGTTCTTGATGCTGTCATACAGATTCTGCAGAACGCATCAGAACATGAGGGTTACAGGAAGAACCTTCACTGAACAGAGACACGATTCAGGAATGCTGCTGCAGGATTTTTTTCTTTTGTTTAGCAAAGCTGCAGCTGTTGTCTGGTTTGTTTTGGGCAAAGTTGTGATTTTAAAAATATTTTTTACTGCATTTCAGGTTTAATCTAGGCAGCTACGACTACTTTTGCTTCACTCTGACATTAGCATGCATGTAGGTGAACACTGGAGTAAAAACAGCACGCCTAACACAGGAAGCCACTACAGAGCGATGTATCAAACCACAAAACAGAAGGTAGCTTCAGTCCCCGCTTGTCTGCAGCCTCTGCTGTAGTCGGTACCATTTCATGTTAAAGATGACAAAAGAAAAGAAACGGCACACGTCTACTTAATTATAGTGTACTATGAACGCCCATGTGGCTTTCCTGTGGGGACAATCACTGAAAATCCCACTTAGCTCCAACAGACCAGGTCACCAACTGGTCCATCATTTAATGAAAACCAGAAACAAGTCCTGCTTACTTTAAAGTCAGAGGATTTGGATGCATCCATCAGTGAAACCAGCATATTTCATGTGTTTCAAACCAAATACTTCTTTATATCACACAAAGGAGTCTGACAATAAGATGTCATAATTACAGAGATTGTTGAGGAGAAATGCTTCGCTTTAAATGTGGATTTACAAGTTTACATTCATAGAATCATTACTTGTCCTACAAGAGGAATCTATTCCTCCTGCAGGACATGTAGAGGTTTCTAAATAACCAATAACATTTCATACAATCAGACCTGAGTAGAGGGTTGACATTATCATCATTCGTCTTCTGCTCATAAACAGCTGAATCTCCAGCTTCATTATATGTGTGGACATAAAGAACTCTTGAAAAGAACAAAAGCTCCACAAACACCCAGAACCTCGACTCACCCTGAGGAGATCCTCGGGCAGATCTCCTCCATCATTGATGCCTTTGTTCATGGCGGTGAACCTCTGGACCGAAGGCTTGTCCTTCACGTTGGGGTTGTGTAGACTCGTGTTCAACATGATCACAGCAAACGACAACACGTAACACGTATCTGAAACCGATAGACCATGTGGTTGAGGCCGTTTTCATTTGATAACAAAATGCTACTGCTGCTTTTAAACAATACTTGCTTTCTGTTCTAAAAGTTTCTGTTTAAATGCCACAACTCAATAAAAGTTTTGAACATCAACAAAAATGTAAAAAAGCAAACAAATTTCATTGTAAAGTTTTATAAATGTAGCTTTTTACATTTACCTTCAAACACTTTGCTGATGGTTATCATAATTGTCCCTCCCTCTCCTACCTGTGCTCTGAAACACTCCTGGGTTGCAGTGACAGTATCTCTGGGCGAACGCCTCCATCATGCGGTCAATCTTCTGGGCCTCTCCAGGCAGCCTGAAGCTCCACAGGAACTGCCTGAGAGCCTGAACCAGGTTCAGGTCCGTGAACTCGTGCAAGTCCAGAAAGGCATACAGAACTTTGATGTTAAACTCATCTCTGCACGACACAAACACACACGCCCACACAGAAGTGAGTTGTGGGACAAAAACAGCTGATCCTGAAAAACTGCCAGTGCTTCATTATGAATCATGTTCAGTAACAAACAGCATCAGTTCTGACAACCCCAGAGGCAAAGATCTCTGGAGAAATGAGCTAGTCTACTTCAAACTGTGTTGTGAAAAAGAAAGGGTTGAACTTTAAAATAACTCACCTTTCTCCCAGATAATTGCCAATGGCTGTTTTATTAAGCCCCTCCCCCTTGTAGAGAAACTGAGCGATGTCTTCGCTGGTGTTTTTTAGGAGGGAGCTCTCAATCAGGAAGCAAATGCCCTGGGAAAGAAGATGTGTTCGTTCTTGTATTATTCAGTATTCATCATCAGGATGTCATTTGAAGCTCGGGAAGTTTAAAGTTGGCCTGCACCTGTTATTTCAGTATATCTGCAGTGGTCTAGTACAAACAAATGTCTTGTGCATCGTTCCCTGTGGGAAAAAATGGTAGCACTGCCGTTTCAAGAAGTGGGGGGTGGGGGTGGGGGGCTGTGTTGTGGAGCTGCTAATGCCAACGGTTAGCTTCTACTAGCTGAGATGTGCCCTGCTCTCTCCTGGACGCTAAACCAACAACAGCCTTCCTCATCGCCAGCCACGATGGGCGAGTCCATAAATGGTAAATTACAATGTGATGTAGATCTGAGTGGCTTTTCTAATCCAAGTGTTACCGTGTTTGTTTTCTATTGGTGGCTAATGCAGGAGAAAGGGACAGAAGACCATGTTCACGTTCATCCTGCATGTTAAACTCAGTGACTTTCTTCAAAAAGAACAAATATTATACGTTTCTCAGTGAAATTCCTCTTTTAAAGTAAGGCCTTCAACCAAATCTGAGCTTCAAACTATTTAACTGAAAGTATTTACCTTCACAGAGTCCATGTTGAACTTCTTTCGGCCAATGGCCATCTGTTTATTCCTCTGCATACTTTTCCTACAAACAGATAAAACAAATAATCTCATCATAAAATAAACAAATACATACAGATTTTAGCAAGTCAAATATGTGGCATGATCATTTTTTCTGTTTTCTATTATCACACTGAACCTGTAGGATGGTGTAAATACAAGATAAGTAAATCAATAATGTAAACAACTCCAGCTGGCCCTTTCTCCATGAACAGAGCTGCAGTAAAACGAAGATTGAACAGAGAGCTGCTGCCCACGCACGCAGCACACCAACGGTCCTTGGGAGATACTTCACCTCTCTTCAGTCAGGCCCAGGTTTTCAATCTCACTGGTCACTTCTGCTATCTCATCCTTCAGCCTCTGAGAGCAGAGAAAGGGAGAGAGAGCTTCAGAAGGATCAAACACAACAACCATCTCCATGAAACATCTCAACCCTTCACCCTTTAGAGAAGCTTTGATCTAATTTTTACAGATTTCATAAATACCCCACAGGCTGGGATGTCACGACAGGCTCTTCCCACTGAAGTGACGACTCACTAAAACTAAAGATGCTGGCGTGATTCACGTTCCTTCAGACAGACTCAATCTTCCTCAGCAGGACTTTGATTCAGCTCTGGGACCTGTAGCACCTGGTCTGGGGTCAGTGCTGGCCACCCTCACCCCTGTTTCCACTTCTTTTTCCCCTCCCTTTTGCTGACCCAGATTTAGGGTTTTAGCCCACCACCCCCACCCACTCTCAAGCCTGTGTGAGCATCAGAGCTGGGGAGACAGGAATATACTAGATCAAAGACGGGCCGGCTTAGTGGCGGTTATAGGAGAGAAACCGATGGAGAAACTTGGAGCCAGCAGAACATAGCAGAACTGGATAATTACAGAGAGACAGAAGACCACAGATTAAAGCTAAAATCATGAGCAAAGACCAGATTCCTCCTTATGCGTTTCCATGGTAACACTCTGATAAACTAAAGTCTTCTGTCTCCAGCACTAGAGTATGTCATGCTTCAATACCCATCAGTCCCCGAGGGAACAAGTGGGTGGAGCTAAAAGACGAGAAACAAGACGGTGTTTGAACAAACTAATCCCCCCCCCCCCCCCCCCCCCTAAAGGCTATTAAGGCCCACTACCAACCCTCGCCTCCCATCCTGGATCTGAGCTTTGTTTTATCCGTTTTTACCATTTAATTACATTTTATTTGGCACTTGTCTAAGACTGATCCAATTCAGAAAACATGCGCCGAGTAAACACTGATCTTTCTGTGCCTGACGCATCTGCTACAGGTTAAAACATGACCAGGAATCAGCCTCCGAGCACGAGCAGGCATGACGCTAAAGGACACTGGCTCTTTCGCAATCAGCACATTTTACTCTATTGTTCTTGCAACAGAAAAAACGAACTGTGATCGTGATTAGGAGAGTTGATAAAATACTAATAAACAAAAGTTATAAACAACAACAAAGTCATGATACATTTTAATAGTTAACATAAGTCAATCTTAGGCTATAAAAACAGAAATAAAGGTTTCAGAGCAAATCACACACACACACACACCCACCCAGCCCTCCCCAGGGACACACGTAGAGACATGAAGGCCCATATCAACGACACAGAGAACAGGGCTTTGAAACATCTGCTGGTCTCAAGTTTCACATAATTCAAATATTTCTTATGAATAAAATATAAATGAAACCAGAATTTAAAGAGCTCATAAAGTTACAACAAAAAGCTCCACAAGATCCTCAGCTAGTAAAAACACAGAAATCCTACATCAACTGTTGCTGTAAAAATAATGCTGGGTTATAGCTTCAATGCGACACAGCAATTCAACCGTTTCACGCTAAATCCTAACAATTCTTCTGTTTCTAGAACAAAACTCATTAATAATGATGATAAACAGTTAATGTTGCAGTTTTCTTGATTGTGGGTTTTGAGATGACCTTTTTCTTTTAATGTCAATAAAAGACTTCTCCTGTGGAAAACCTTTGGTATTTTTATTTATGTTGTGTTTTTGTGAGGTGGCAGCAGAAGCTCAGGAGGTAGAGCGGGTTGGCCACTAATCGGAAGGTTGCAGGTTCGATTCTGGCTCCGGACAGAGAATGTTGCTGTTGTGTCCTTGAGCAAGACACTTAACCCACCTTGCCTGCTGGTGGTGGTGGTTGGAGGGACTGGTGGTGGCGCCTGTGCTCGGCAGCTTCGCCTGTCAGTGCGCCCCAGGGCAGCTGTGGCTACAGTGTAGCTCATCACCATCAGTGTGTGAAAGGAAGACTGATGCACTGTAGTGTAGAGCGTTTTAGAGTCCTCTGACGCTGAGAGGTGCTATACAAGTGTGGGTCATTTATCATTTATTTAGGATCCGTCCCTCGGTTATGCTGCTTCTACCCAGAAAAACACGCTTGGCTCCGACAGGAGAGTTTATGTGCACCATCCTCAGCTGCTGCTAAAAGAAGAGTTTATATGAATGTCGTAAACAGAAACAACACGATTTTTGTGCTTACAGACATCCCAACAGCCTGTCACACACGGGGCTTAAATATCAGCAGCCTCGGACAACGACGGTCTTTGTTTGAAAAATGTCCCAAGTAAGAAGCAAGGGACTCATGCGGGTCTACTTATTTTATGACTAACAGAGCTTGTGCATTAGGCCCTAGCTGCACAACAGCTGAATGATGTTGGTCCTAGAGCAGCCCTGGTTTGGTTTACCCATTTTAAAAGAAACTGTTAATAAATCAAACATGTTAGAGCATCAGTAGCCCCTGTTACAGGTAGTGAAAGTGTTCTTACTTGGATGTCCTGCAGGAGCTCTTGTTTGCGGCGGCGGATGCTCTCCAGCTCCTGTCGCTCTTCTGGGCTCAGGTCATCCGGCACTGAGGAGAGAAAAACACGCTGCACTCAGATACAGAAAGATCAAATATTCCTTCATCCTGCTCACAATACATTTACTGCTCACACACAGAAGAAAGGAGACCCGAGAGTCCCAGTGCTGTGATTACTATAGCAACACAATCTCAACGCCATCAAACACACGCGCACGCACAAAGAGGAAGATGAAATCAAACTCCTTCCTTCTTACAAAAACAAGTTTTCAGATTTGAAGTTGAGAATTACTTTTAGGAACAACATATCAGTCACAGAACTGAGACGGGATCATGCCGTAAACACTTTTAATCTTTTAATTCAGTCAAATGATACCAAAGACGTTCAGTTTGTTTTCAAATGACCCTTTTTGTTACAGGTTCAGTATTAGTAGGCATGGATGAGGGTGAGGTGGTGTTAGGAGCAAAGTCACTACCAGCGTGTGAATGGATGAATGATAAAGTGCTTTGGAGTCCTCCGACTCTGAAAGGAGTTATATGTGCGAGGGTAATTTACTAATATTAATTAAAGTTCGAACATTAAGATAAAACTCTACATAATGTTACCAGAATAAAGTTATTTTAAAATGAGAAGGGAGTCAAAATTTAAACCAGCACAGGTTCAAAGACCAATAATGTCCACTGACCAGGTTCATTTGAACAGTCATAATAACTTTCATTTGATTGCTTTAGGCTACAGCACAAGCTTTACTGAATAATAATAATAATTTACTGTTTTTATAAGCTTCAGATGAGTAGAAGCAGTGGCGGCCCTTCCATATGGGCATAAAAATCTTTAGACCTAAACGATAACTGGCTCATGCGCGCTGGACCTCCCTTCAATACAAAACATAGAAGAGCCTTCGGGCGCAGAACTTTGCACCTTGAAGCATGCACAGAAGACCGGAGTCCCAGCTCAGAGCAGGACGTTCAACCAGAAAGCTCTCCACAGTCCGCTTTTTTTTAACTGGACAGAAGATGCCCGGTTAGCTGGCTGTGCTAACACCGGTGCTTTGTTGGGTTTCTCCTGCCTGGCACAGATCAAGCCTGGATTCAGACAGGTATTACAGATTTAAACTAGCTGAAAACACATTTTGTATATTTGCTTTAATTTTTTAAGTAATGTGATGAAAAAGAATGGTACCTTGGTGTACCCAAGTAGTGATACGTGGTTAGAGCGCATTTGAAAACCAACTAGCAAAAATGACTCCCACCAGCCGCCACCGTCTATATGCACATTTCTGCTGTAGATGCTGCTGCAGAAAACCCCAAAAGAAAACACCTTGCCTCCAAGAATATAGGTCTGTTTTTATTCTACTCAGTAAAAACACACAACATTCAGTTGCTATAAAAACCGAAGGTGTGAACCGTTGGGTTCAGAAACAGCTCCGGGCTTCACTTCCTCATTCTTTTTCTTGTTGACTACATTCTGATTTACACAAGTCTGAAGCAAGATGGAACAAATCAAGTTAATTGTCAGAATTTGGTCAGTAATCTGCACCATCATAAGATTTTCGTCTCAAACATAAATACAAGTTTACCAGTGAGACTAAATATCAACATATAATAACTACAGTAAACGATATGCTCCTGTAACTACTGAGGTCTACGTATAAAACACACCCATAAATGTACAAGTGTGTGCCCCGATAGAACAGACGCCCATGTGCCAGAGACGTACTACGGATCTGCAGGAGAATGATAAGTATGCAGAAAGGTCAGACTCACTGGTGGCTTTCTGGAGAATTAAAAAAAGAACAGAAAAAGAAAATAGAAACGACAAATGCAGAACTGTAGAGGCAGGTTTCACATGATCACACATCAAAACTCCCCATTGCAGTATCATTTCCATTTTTGGGAGCCTTAAAGGACTAAAATGAACTTCTAATGCGCAATTAAGCTTTAATAAATGGCAGAGAAGGAGCATAATTAATGCTGAGTAACAAGCAGCCACAAAGACAGATCAAGCTGTGCTGCGGCTGTTTGTCAGCCTCATTAGATGAATCCTGCTGAGGGACTCAAGTGTGTGAAATGTTCATTTGACTTTGGCAGCAGGACCGAGTCACTCAGAGCACAGTAGGAACGGGGAACAAAGAGACCAGACTCCATTTCAAACATGTTAGTCCCATTTCACTCTGACATGACATCAAACTCATAAAAAACATTTAAACATGGCTCAGATGTTTTCACAAGTTAGACCTTTCCATTTCTGAGTTCATCAGCTCCAACATGCAATAGTTAGCATGCAAAAGCCTGAAAGAGTACTAGTCAGGTAGAGATAAGTTAAGGAAACTGAACTTTGGCCAAAAGATGCCTTGTCATCTTAAAACAAGGGCAGCTGTGTTCAGTTCAGCAATCGTGTGTGTGTGTGTGTGTGTGTGTGTGTGTGTGTGTGTGTGTGTGTGTGTGTGTGTGTGTGTGTGTGTGTGTGTGTGTTCATACATCTAGCAAAAACTTGTGAAACAAGTTGATGTGAAGGGTAATCTCGTGTGTAACGGTTTGACTTCAATGTGAAATTGCAAAAGTTATGTCCGACAAAAATCTGCTTTGTAGTTAAGTGGAGCTAAATGTAAAATATTGCAGATGTTTTCTACACTTTTTACTTTCATGCCGTTTTTTTCCTGTGATAATTTTTTTCCATTTGTTCAAACATCATCAGGAAGACTTCAGTCAAATGTGTGTGTTCATTTTATTACAGATGCTAAAAATTAAACTACAGCCAAGTTATTTTGGTCAATAATAAAGCCATGATTATTTAATAATGATTAGTCAATGAGTTTGCAAAAACAGCATTTATATATGTAGCTTAGCAGGGCACACTAGACTGTATCTGTGTTCAGCTTACTAAGGTTTTCTAACGTGTTCAGTTTGAATGAATGACTGCAGTAATGTATATGATCACAAACAGGCTTTCAAATAAAGGAATAAAGTTTTTAGCAGAAGTTCTTTTAATGACTTCAAACTTTTTCAATGTTTGTGCTTTACCATCTAATCAACATAGACCATAAAAAGTCGCCAAATCAAGCCTGTTTACAATAAGAATTGGATTTTTTGCTACATTCAGACAACACACACACACACACACACACACACACACACACACACACACACACACACACACACACACACACACACACACACACACACACACACACACACACACACACACACACACACACACACACACACACACACACACACACACACACACACACACACACACACACACACACACACACACACACACACACACACACACACACACACACACACACACACACACACACACACACACACACACACACACACACACACACACACACACACACACACACACACACACACACACACACACACACACACACACACACACACACACACACTTAAGTAGGCTTGGCCAGCTCTTAACCTAAGGACAAGAATGCCGTAACAATGTGAAAGGAGAAGTAGTGAAATTGGCATTTTGAGCCACTTCCTCTTTTCATTTTTATTCAAAGGAAATGCAGATGGAAGGCTTGTGACAGCTTATCAAACACCTTTTTCCAGTCACAGAAACATCCTACACAAAGAACCTCACAGGTCTTCAGCCAGCCGCTTCACGTAGCATCAAGGACACCTCTGCTGCTCAGGACGCCCAACACTGACCACTGACCAGCATCACGTTTGCTCTCTAAACTCTTCCCAGCTCTGGTTAACAAGTTATGCATCACTTCCTCCTGAATCTGCACATCAGTCCATTTTCAGTTATCATCTGTTTAGCTGAGGTTTCCTGCTTTCACAGGAAGATGTGGCAACTCATGCACACACATCTGGAGACATTTCTGCAAAAAAGCTCTGATGCAAACATGGTGACGCACTGCACACCTACACATTTGTGTCATAATTGTGGTGATCATACCAGAGGAGGCTTGTGTCTGCTGAGCTTCACCACAGGTCTCAGAGGTTAAAGGACAACCGGTGCAGAAGAAAATATTCACCTAGATGGCATTCACACAGCGGTTTCCAGCTCCAGAGTCCATCAAAAAGAAAAAGTTTTCATCAAGAACAACCAGTTTCGTGTAGCCCCGTATGGTGTTTGGGAATACCAGTCCCGATCCGGTTGTCTGCCAGCCTCCCTGTCTCTAATCCTCAGTCTAATTCCAGCACAGTAAAGAGGAAAAGAGCCCGCCTGCAGCTAAATGAGGACAAACTTTTTTTTTTTAAGTGTGTGTGTCAGGGGAAAACCCTTGAGCTCTCATCTGTCTCCCCCTCCTTCTGTCCATCTGAACTCCTCCCTGCTCCCTTGCCCTCCTTCCCTCCATCAAGCACAGGAGCATCATACGCACACTCCCTTGCATGGTGGACAGGCGTTTGAGGGGAGGAACAGGAATCAAGAGTCGCAGTTTCCTCTTTAAAACAACTTGTGGCGAGGAAGCAAAGCGGGTACAGACGTTCTGTCCCTACTCATCACATGTGTTTATTACCAGAAGAGAACATGATTCAGGACCAACGGCAGCACATTTTGTTTATGACTGCAAAAAAATGCCAGAAGTTTTAAATGATGAGGTTTTGTGTACCAGTCACTGTTCACAAGGCAATCATCCTCCATTTGAGCCTTTCACAAGGCAGTAGTTGTACTTTTCAGAGTTCCCTGGCCTGGGGGAGAACTAGCTGGAGAGATTGTTGTTCTTACTGATCACATTAATGCTGCCTCAATGAGTCTAAAGAAAAGCAAACAGGAAACAAAGAATATGAGCTTTAAGACCGATCATAAAACCATCCTAATGTGACGGATGCTTAGGAAAACAACAGATTCTTTTTCAACTCATGTGGAAAGAACAAATATGCAGCATTTAGATCTGTGATGCTCCAAATTACATTTAAAGGTGTTTTAATGTGAAAAATAACTAAAACAATGATTATTGATGTGTGTTTGTTTCTTTATGAGCTAATATTAGTTTTGGGTGAATAATTATAGTTCATCAACCCATTCATGCGGATCAATTTTCCATCTAACTTTAACACAGAGTTGATCTGATGGGTTATCATGACCACATCCTGTAAGAGCAGCTCAAGCTGTGACAGGAAACCAAGGTGCAGCCGTGCTGGGACTGATCTCTGACCCCTACCCAGGGCTGTTTCTGTCTGAAATGGACTTCCACAGCTCCCTACTGCTCACACAGCCCAACTCTTTGGCTCTAACTCACGCAGTCTAGTCCAGTAAGTATTTTTAGAGAAACCCGTTCATCTCCCAGCTAATAAATGGGTGCATTGACTACATGTGGAGACATGAACTGCTGCACCGAAAGCACATCCCTCCGTGAGGTCTGGCCTTAATTCAGATAATAATAATAATAGATCCCTTGTGCCAGTTCATAGAGGCTGTCAGAGCATTAGCACAGCAGCCACCGGACGTGGTGCGCTAGCAGCGACACATAAACCAGAACAGGTTCAACTAGGCGGTATTCGGACGCACACTAAAGTCATTTTTCACCGTTAGGATAGTTAGGTAGCTAACCAAGTTAGCTAAGCTAGTTAGCATCTGTGTTAGCTTTGCGTAGAGATAAAGGAGCGTCTGGGTGGAAACTCACCAACTCCGTCCTCCGACTTTAACACCATGTTGGTAAAGTTTGGTTCAAACTTGCCCGAAGACACAAACGTTAAACGTTCACTTTTATAAAGTTATCGGGTCACACCGTGAGACTCGTTTAGAACCTGTCTCTCGTTAAAATGACCGTGGATGTCAAGTGTGCGGAGAAACACCCGGTGAGGGCAGGGTGAAGGGGCGGGGCCTCAATCTACAGCAACCAATCAGAGAGCGCCTATCTATCTATCTATCTATCTATCTATCTATCTATCTATCTATCTATCTATCTATCTATCTATCTATCTATCTATCTATCTATCTATCTATCTATCTATCTATCTATCTATCTAATCTATCTATCTATCTATCTATCTATCTATCTATCTATCTATCTATCTTGTTTTACTTTGTTACATAAGTTTCGGTTTAGGGTGCAATTACATAATATGCAAAAACATAAATAAGGTGGTCACTTGCAATTAAAAGGGCAATTTTGTTTTATTTAAAGTATTTTCTGAATTCAAAATTATATCAAAATTATTGATATTTTAAATTTATGTGACTGTTACACCTGCTTTGTGGTTTAGTAGGCTTTCCAGTTTTCCAGAAACATTCTGATGTCAGCATGAATCACTGTTTATCACTGTCTCATTGCAACAGCTGCTACAAAACTGTTTCCAAGTCTCACCGATTTATTAAATCCCCAGATTTTAGATCTTAAAAAAACTTCCTAGAAAATTTTGTTTGATTTAAATAAACTATGTATTTTATTCATCTTTGGTCTTCACAATCAGAGCTGCTTCTGCCTTTTTTCTCTCTTGATCAAATTTGTTCTGAGCTACAAGATACGCTTGAAGCTGAAAATTAATGAAAAAAGATAAAATATTATTTAACAACCTATATAAATTAAAAACTGTAGTTTGAAATCAATGAACTACTGTATATTGTTGACTTATGTGCAAATTAAACTTTTGTCAAAAGGGAACAAAACATTTTCTGGTGAAAAATTTCTTAGAACAAACAAAACACTTAATTATGAAAGTCTATGTGATTATTTTATTACTGCAAAAAAAACTATTTCACTCTTTAAATAATTAAGCATGCTTGAAAGTAGAGTGAGCATAAAACTGAGGCCATTTTGTGGAATATTTAATTGTGACTAACACATTTTCTTCCAAGATTTTAAAACGCTTGATAAAAACAACATTTCACTTTTACTTTTCTTTGTTTTTCAAATACATCACAATTTTGCATTAACTAGACAAGCTGCAGACCCCTGATCTAAGCAGTTCTCCAAGGAATGAGTTTTATTGTCTATTGTTTCTATTTCTTGGCTCAGTAATCTATTCTAAATACATAAAGTTAGTTTACCAGCAGTTTCCAGCTAGACATCTTTAGCAGTTGCAGTGATTAATTAATAAATAAAAACAAATAAATATGTGAACTTATTCAAAAAAAATCTTATAATTTGTCTTCAATCTGGATTTGTGTAACTTTTGTTCAGCAAGTTGGCAGTCAGGTAACTTTTTCCACATTTCCCCAGGAAGAGGAAACAGGGCTTGACCAGATATGTGTTGTAAAAAAGACATTAAAATAACAGCCCCCACCTGCTGAAGTGAAGCAACACATTCAGACTCATTAGTGTGAAGGCGAGGGGGCAGATCGGCTGTCGCTGATGGACCGGTGGTGTGTGAACGAATGTAAGGAAGGGAGAGGAAAGGGTGTAGTGAAGGACAGAGGAAAAAGAGGGCAAAGGATTGCAGCTGTGTGATTGAATCGCTGCTTTATGTGTAGATTGGACACACCAGAAACAGGATATGTCGAGGTGTGGTGAGAAAGAGCTGCTGAAGTGTAATGGGTCAGCCTAAAGAATACAACTTTCCTTTGGTTTGCCTAATTACTGGTGTTAAAGTTTTTCTAATTAAAGCAGATGCTTTTGTGTTTGAAGTGAAGAAGCCTGTGTGTGTGTGTGTGTATACACCTTCCCTTGTTATTATTTTTCTTCTAATTATTCTCTTAAGTGTTGGTGCTGCTGTAACAAGTGACTTTCCACTAAATAAAGTCTGCTCTAAGGGGAGCAGGAGCGTCTAATATCACTGATCACTGACCAGTAGCTACTACATGTCACTAATGATGATGATTCCTCCCACTTTGGTTCAAACTATGTTATGCACAAAACAGGGTCGAAAACTGCATAAGCGACTTTCCACGCAAACTTTGGGATTTATGAAAGAAAACTTAGCGGAAAAATGTGCGCAACTTTAAGTTGACTAAGGACCTGGCTTACGCACGTTTTGGACATGGAGAGTACCTGCAGTGCTGCTGCTGAGAAGGATAAAATTATGAAATCCAGCAGCATTATCACTTGTACCGCTTTGTTTTCACACAGAACAAGACCCCCCCAAAATGCACACACATGTGCGCGCACACACACATGCGCGCACACTCACACACACGCACGTACGCACGCACGCACACACACACACACACACACACACACACACACACACACACACACACACACAAACACACACACACACACACACAGTTTGAAGCACAGAATACGTAATGCAGAATGTCAGCAGGGAGACAGATTGAAACAGAATGTCATGTGTCTGTGACAGTGTGTGTCCTGTCACTGTGACCCGATTGATCATGCACCCTGGCTACATGTACAGGGGAGATTTCCGTTTGGGTGACTGGTTAGCGTGTGCGAATTTTACCTGGGAGTCTGGGGATCAAATCCTGATTGGATAATTTTTTTTTATGTCCGCCACAGATCTCTCTGAAGAACTCAGCATTGACGGCTTCGGCAACATTGTGTGACTCCGGATTTTTTCTTATTTGTTTTGCAAAAGCACTTCCTTTCATGTCTCTGCCTCACCCACAGGTACCTCAACTTCTGCTTATGAAATAGCGCTTCCTTGATCTGCGGTCGTGATCAAAATGCTGCAACAGCCGGCATATGTATATGCATGAGATCCACAAGGCAATTTGCATTGACTATTTATGGCAGTAAGTGGGCATGGTGAGGGCGGGATGTGACTAAAAAGCAACTGAGAACCTTTATAGATAGTTTATGATTTATGAAGCAGAGATTGCGTGCAGCTGTGCGTACTCCATGTTTGATAGATCACATACCTACTTGGCGTAAGTACATTTTTTTTGCTGAGCTTAAGTATGGTTTTAGTAAGGATTCTATGCAATGTTTGATAAATGAGACCCCTGGTGTCTTCATTTGAACCCTTTTGGATTCCCATGAACTGGATGACTGAGAACCTTTACCAGCATATCTAATTAATTTGACTTTTTATTTTAAATTGGACAAATGTCTGCTGAGGTTTGTCCTTTCTGCTGAAATAATGGCGTCTAAGGGTACAGATATAATTTTAAACTAAGTTTGACCAGTATAAGCCATAAGAGGGAGTCTTCTTAATATCTAAAAGGGATTATTGGTGAAATCTTCCCTGTTTTAGTGACTTCAAAGCTTAAAACAAAATGTAAATTCGGACAATAGAAACTACAGAGTGCAGCTATATTCATGAAAACTGCAAGGGAAATGAACTTAACCCGTGTGAGGCTCCTTTCAAAGCACAATGATGGCTTTTGAACGAGTGCGTTGACGCAAAAAAAGGCACCTGCACGGAGGGAGAGCAGTGGGCAGTGATGGAGATTATGTCACTCCAGCACCCACTGGAGAGGAGGATCCTGGACCAGGCGAGGATGATGAGGGGCGTGCGTCATGTTCTCAAATCAAGCCCACCTTCTCACACAAAACACACACGCACTGACTCATGTGTACACATGAACGCAGAAATGTCAGAAACACAGCATGGCACACACACACACACACACACACACACACAGAGAAAGAAAGCTTCATCCTGAAAAATCACCACGGCAACTAAACACTGGAGATACTTTGTTTTCCATTCATCAAACAAAAGCAGCACATTTTTTTATCTCAAACATTTAAACTATAAGATTATAGCAAGTTAAAACATGTTAAGTGTTTAAAATTAAGGATCACTCACCTGAAGCAGCAGCAGGTGTCCCTGTTCGAACTGCAGGACACAGAAAAGCTTGGAAACTGGACGCACACAGCTCACTCACAGTCCCCATCACAACACAGTCACTGATTTACAACAAAAACAAACCGACTCAGGTTAGCAGAATCCTCTCAGCATCCTGCTGCTTTTCTCCCTGAAGCATTTGTGGACTCTGGTCCCTTGAAGAAAGAAGCATCCGTGTTTTCTTCCCAAGCGCCACCAGACTCTGACAAACTCTCAGAGAAATACTCTCCACTCTGCTCTCTCTCCTCCCTCCCTCCTCGCTGTTGTTCACACCACTTGACCTCTCCCGAATTCAGCTTCTCTCTTCCTCTGCTGCACACATCCAAATAAATATAAACATTAAAAACACACACCGTTCTGTCAAAGGGGAGTTTAAATAAGTAGAGGTGGCTTTAGTGTTTATAGAAACACACGCCTACTGCTGTGTCACTTTGAACAGTTGTTATAAAAACTATTCTTGGAAACACACACACACACACACACA